TCAGTGTTCCGCTACAACTTTGCGATTCGCTTATTACGGACTCGCTGTTTTGCGAGTTTTTTTAAATTAATAAAGTAATAAAACTGGGGGGGGGGACAAATATCACTTGGCAGTGGCCTCCTCCTCCTCCTCGCTGCCTTCACTGGTCTCCGCTCCTTCCTCAGAGATGGCCATGCTGAGGCTCCCCCTCCTCCTCTTCCCAGGGGCCTCCAAGGAAGAGGAGGGTGGGCTCGGTGTGGCCCTCTCCAAGGAAGGAGCAGGAAGCAGCGAAGGCAGCGAGGAGGAGGAGGTCACTGCAAGAGAGCCACGCGAAAGCATCCCCTTCCTCCCCCTCTTCCTTCTCCTCTTCCTCGGAGGCCCAAGGGTCCTCTGAGGAAGAGGAGGAGGAAGAGGAGGGGGAGCCTCCAAGGAGGGAAGCAGCGGAGGCAGTGAGGAGGAGGAGGCCACCACCAGAGAGCCATGTGAAGGCTTCCCCTTCCTCCTCCTCTTCCTCCTCCTCTTCCTCGGAGGCCCAAGGGTCCTCCGAGGAAGAGGAAGAGGAAGAGGAGGGGGGAGCCTCCAAGGAGGGAAGCAGTGAAGACAGCGAGGAGGAGGAGGCCACCGCCAGAGAGCCACGTGAAGGCTTCCCCTTCCTCCCCCTCTTCCTTCTCCTCTTCCTCGGAGGCCCAAGGGTCCTCCGAGGAAGAGGAAGAGAAAGAGGAAGAGGAGGGGGGAGCCTCCAAGGAGGGAAGCAGTGAAGGCAGTGAGGAGGAGGAGACCACCGCCAGAGAACCATGTGAAGGCTTCCCCTTCCTCCCCCTCTTCCTTCTCCTCTTCCTCGGAGGCCCAAGGGTCCTCTGAGGAAGAGGAAGAGAAAGAGGAAGAGGAAGAGGAGGGGGAGCCTCCAAGGAGGGAAGCAGTGGATGCAGTGAGGAGGAGGAGGCCACCACCAGAGAGCCACGTGAAGGCTTCCCCTTCCTCCTCCTCTTCCTTCTCCTCTTCCTCGGAGGCCCAAGGGTCCTCCGAGGAAGAGGAAAGAGGAAGAGGAGGGGGGAGCCTCCAAGGAGGGAAGCAGTGAAGGCAGTGAGGAGGAGGAGACCACCGCCAGAGAGCCATGTAAAGGCTTCCCCTTCCTCCCCCTCTTCCTTCTCCTCTTCCTCGGAGGCCCAAGGGTCCTCCGAGGAAGAGGAAGAGGAAGAGGAGGGGAGAGCCTCCAAGGAGGGAAGCAGTGAAGACAGCGAGGAGGAGGAGGCCACCGCCAGAGAGCCACGTGAAGGCTTCCCCTTCCTCCCCCTCTTCCTTCTCCTCTTCCTCGGAGGCCCAAGAGTCCTCCGAGGAAGAGGAAGAGAAAGAGGAAGAGGAGGGGGGAGCCTCCAAGGAGGGAAGCAGTGAAGGCAGTGAGGAGGAGGAGGCCACCGCCAGAGAGCCACGTGAAGGCTTCCCCTTCCTCCCCCTCTTCCTTCTCCTCTTCCTCGGAGGCCCAAGAGTCCTCCGAGGAAGAGAAAGAGGAAGAGGAGGGGGGAGCCTCCAAGGAGGGAAGCAGTGAAGGCAGTGAGGAGGAGGAGGCCACCGCCAGAGAGCCACGTGAAGGCTTCGCCTTCCTCCCCCTCTTCCTTCTCCTCTTCCTCGGAGGCCCAAGGGTCCTCCGAGGAAGAGGAGGAGGAAGAGGAAGAGGAAGAGGAGGGGGAGCCTCCAAGGAGGGAAGCAGCGGAGGCAGCGAGGAGGAGGAGGCCACCTTTGAAGAGCGCCATGCCAAGGCCCAGCCTGGAGACAAGCTCCCCGCCTCCTCCTCTTCCTCATCCCTACTTTGCAGAATTTCACTTATCGCGGGTGGTCCTGGAACATAACACCCGCGATAAGTGAGGGACCACTGTATTTAATGCAACATCCTCCCTCTTGAGCACCAGGAAACCACGTAGCACCATTCCCACGCATCTCAGCCTCTTGGAGAATCTTTTTGAGGTTAGAGAAGTTAAAGGAAATGCCGAAGGAGGTGGTGGTTTAACAGCCCCCCGACCGCGGTACATTACTGATAGCGTTCATTAAAACGCCTCCGTCTCCAATCACGCCGACCGCACAGGGCAAGCGCACAGAGAGAAGGAGAAATAAATTAACTCAGCTGAAATTAAGATGTTTGTTGGAATCTAGGTCAGGGCTTATTATACATGGGAGAATTAGGAACATGGCAGATTGAACTTTCGAATCAAATAATTATGAGTTTCGAAGGCCTCTGCGCTAAACACCGCTGTGATCTACAAACGGAAGCACCGGGCGCCGGGTTGCGTTTGCTCCAAGTTGGAAGGACACAATCAAAGGGAGGCATTCGGAAGTGTTGCCGGAGCAGAAAAGCACATTTCGAGATATATCATTTGCTGCTCAGTGGTAGCAGAGCAACCGCGTCGGAGAAAATAAGGATGCAGGCAGGTCCAACACCTCAAACGGCCTTCAAGCATTTCGTTTAGACTTTCCTTGAAATCTCAAATGTTTCTCTCCCAGTCCGAATGTAGGGTACATTTGATGGTGATGCTAAGGAAGATTTGTCTCATGCAATTGGTGACTCTAAAGGCATGACTTTCTGAAATAAACAAAAAAAAATCCAACAATTGGAGAGGATTTGGCTGATCAAATGGTCCTTCCAGTTGCTCTTCCTACGAATCAGACAGGGAGTGTTTTGGAGTCCTTTGTGCTCATGGCTAGCTTGAAAGGATACCCAGAAAGATGGCTCCTCCAGTGACCCACCCACTAGGTATCATTATTGCCACTGTGGACAAAAAACAATGGTAGAGAGAGGCTCCTATGGCATTAGTGTAGTGATTCTACTTGGGTTTTAGTCCAAACTTTAAAGGAGAAGCCCAAATTGCTGAACCTCTTTGGGGGATATACTTCAGCACCTTGGACAGCTCATTAAACCCCAACTCCTTCTCTTCTTCAAGTCCTATTATTCCTCCCACTGTATTTCCTTCAGATACAGAGTGAGCCAATAGGACTCCCTTGGTCCTTCTTCCATCTTAACTCCTCACTTGGGAATGCTGTTGAGTGACAGGAGAACCAGATGTTGGTGGGTGAGGTCAGGTCACTAAGAGTGAGCTAAAAGCATTTTTAAAAAGTCCCAGACTCAGCTGGTGCTGAAGATGGAAGGCCGACCAGACTCTGTACCCGATTATTTCCATCAATGCCTCAAGGCTGTGACTGGATGGCTGCGTGCCAGCAGGTTGAGGGTGAATCCAGCAAAGACGGAGATCCTATGGCTGGGTGGACCGGGCAGTGGGGACATCCAGATTCCTACCCTGGATGGTGAGGCGCTATGCCCGTCCTCCTTGGTCAAGAGCCTGGGAGTCCTTTTGGACCCTCTTTCTGCTGAGGATGGAGGCCCAGGTCTCTCTCCGCCATGAGCAGAACCACCTTCTTTCTTCCACCTGCGGCAGGCTAGACAGCTGGCCCCCTCCCTGTCCAGGGACGACCTCGCTACGGTGATCCAGGCCACGGTCATCTCAAGACTGGACTACTGTAACACCCTCTACATGGGCCTTCCTCTGTCGGTGATCCGGAAGCTCAAGTTGGTACAAAACGCAGCTGCCCGGCTTCTTGCGGGAATTCCGATGAGATGCCACATCACCCCAATCTGACTGCAGCTGCATTGGTTACCCATTGAGCACCGGATCACTTTCAAAGGGATGGGACTCCCCTTGAAGGCCTTGCATGGTCTGGGGCCGATGTACCTGAGGGACCGCCTCACCCCCTCCCAACCCCAGAGATCCCTCCATTCTGAGGACCAAGATCTGTTGGAAATTCCCAGTGTCAAGACCTTGCATCTAACAGCAACCAGACACAGAGCCTTTACAGCAGTGGCACCATCACTCTGGAATACTCTGCCACCTGAAGTCTGTGCCTTGCGGGACTTCTCAGCATTCCACAGGGCATGGAAGACATACCTGTTTCGACAGGTCTTTGACTTTTGATATTACTGTTTTTAAATTGTTTTAAATTGTTTTTAAATTGTGTTCAATTTTAGCCTGTTCTTGTAAGCCGCTCCGAGCCCCAAGGGAGTGGCCGCATATAAGAATAAATAAATAAATAAATAAATAAATAAATAAATAAATAAATAAAGGATTTGGGTGTAAATCAGTGAGTTTCCTAAAGACTTCATTAAGCAGTCCTCAGTTCTTGGCCAGGCCTCTGTCTGATGCCACAATCCAGCAAGCAGAATGGAGATGGAAGGTCGCTTCCACTTGAGATCCTCTGCTGAAAGAAATACATCCCCAGAAACTGTGGTCTGTGTAGAAATAATTTTTTCCAACTTTTCCTCCTCTTCTTTTGTCGTCATAGTCTTCATCTTCATCCCCCTCCATCATTACCTTTGTCTTCAGATTGCTCCTCCTTCCCCTTCTTTGTCATCTTTATCTTCATCTTCCTTCTCTTCCTTCATAATCTTTGTTCATCTTTGCTCATCCTTCATCATCACATTTGTCTTCATCTTCCTTCTCCTCCTCCCGATTCTTCATCTTGTCTTCATATTCCTCCTCCTCCTCCATCATGGCCTTTGTCTTCTTCTTGCTCCTCCTTCTCCTTCTTCATAGTCTTTGTCCTCAACCTCCTCATCCTCCATCATTATATTTGTCTTTGTAGTTCTCCCCTTCCATCATGACCTTTGTCTTCATCTTACACCTCCTTCTCCTTGTTCATCACCTTTGTCTTCATCTTCTTCCTTCTTCATAATATTTGTCCATCTTGCTCCTTCTCTGTCATGGCCTTTATCTTCATCTTCCTCCTCCTCCATCATCACTTCTATCTTCATCTTCCTCCTCCTCCATCATCATTGTCATCTTTGTTTTCCTCCTCCTCCTCACTGAGCATTCTCCAACTCTGCCCGATTTCTCTCGCTCCAGCCTCCTCTTGATGCTCGCTGACCGATCTGACCCCATCACTTCCAATCACCATCTCCAGCTGCCATCCTCCCACTGGAGCCGGCCAGAATCCGTGGCTCCTCGTCCATCCCTCCTAATGCAGAGTGGGCCTCTGTCATGCCTCGGCACTGCAAGGTCCTCTCCGGTGGCCACTCGGGTCCAAGAAAGACACACCACATATTCCCATCGCTGTTGACCCTCTGCGAGCATCCACCCACACAGATGCACGCAAAGACTCAGAGCTGCCATGTTGGATTTGAGGACCAATGCTTTGATGCCTTCGTAGGCAAGAAAGCCAAGCGCCACGTTAACCTCAGTAAACAGATTTAGCACATGCCATTTTGACATCTTTCTTACTTATTTATATTCCTCTGCTCACTTTTGGGGAGAAGCAAGGATAGAAAAGAATGGGAGTGACTGGGCTCTGGGATTTGTAGTTTTGTGCAAAATTCTCAACAGACTGAAAAGAAGGGAATTCCAGTCATGAAACAATCAGAGTCAGCTAACACCTTCCAACAAAGGATTCCCCCAAGCAGGAAGCAGCCAGGCTTTGAAACTGCAAGGCTTTGCAATGCTAATCAAAGTTTTTTTTGTTGTGTCAGGAGCCTCAAGTCACTTCTGGTGTGAGAGAATTGGCCATCTGCAAGGACGTTGCCCAGGGGATGCCCAGATGATTTGATGTTTTTATCATCCTTGTGGGAGGCTTCTCTCATGTTCCCGTATGAGGAGCTGGAGCTGATAGAGGGAGCTCATCCACCTCTCCTCGGATTTGAACCTGCGACCTGTTGGTCTTCAGTCCTGCCAGCACAGGGGTTGAACCCACTGCGCCTCCGGGGACTCGCTAATCAAAGTGATTAATTGCAACATTCACACCTGCCTCCAACAGACAAGAGTTCTTTCTCCCTCCTTGGACATTATTCTACAGATATATAAACCCCACTTGCCTAGTTTCCAACAGATCCCTCAAGCTCTGAGGATGCCTGCCATAGATGTGGGCAAAACTTCAGGAGAGAATGCTTCTGGAACATTATGGAATATATATAAGCTTCCCTTGCTTAGTTTCCAACAGACTTCACAACCCCATAGATGTGGGCGAAACGTCAGGAGAGAATGCTTCTGGAACATGGCCAGACAGCCCGGCAAACTCACAGCAACCCAGTGATTCCAGCCATGAAAGCCTTTGACAACAGATTATTCCATTCCATTCAAACAAAATGCACAAGAAAACAACAAAATTCAAAGTTGCCTCTTTCCTTCAAATCGCAAATATATGTTATCTTCCACACAAATTCATGCCAAAGATGAGTGACTTGAGCTGGTGTTCCTATTATTTTTTCTGCTTTTCCATTTGTGTGCTGCATAAATGGATACCGTATCATCCAAAATTGGCCATCCGTCTTATTTACTCTTAATGGATTTAACCGTAAATGTTAACTTTTCCATTAAGGCTTCATGCTAAAACTCTGCATGACCATTTACAAAAACATAAATCTTTTGCAGTTTCCCAAACCACGTGCCGTTTCTTTCCTCCTTTGGGATTAAAGCACGTCAGTTGGAATGGAATCACAGGGCTATAACTGTGCCGTGTGGATCGGGTGCAGGACCACGCTCTGCGCATGCAATGGGGCAAAACATTGCGATCCTCAGACCTCTTTCTCTCTGTGTTTCATCAACATCGGTGGGGGTTCTCTGTACTATATACTTAAATCTTGAAATAGCAAAGGATTTTCAACACCCAAACAAAGCCATAATCGATTACTTCCAGAGGTGGGAGGCAACAGTCAGTAAATTAGCATGCGTCTTGCTTCCACTTGTACTGCGGTAGATAGGTGTCACTCCAAAGAAGATGCACCCCAAAGGAGATGCACCAAGCTGTTTACGGTGATTGTGTTGATGTGAGTACTGTGCATCATTGGGTAAGTAAGTTTAAAAATGTTGAGGTGACACCTTCTGCTGTCAAGAATTCAATGACTACATGTTGCTTAAGTTGCATTGACCGACTGTCTGTGCAGGGTTCCATACTTCACACTTTAACAACAGTGATCTGCAAACACTTAGAAACAAATGCGGTCATGGCTAATAGTCAACATGGATTGATCAAAAACAAGTCATGCCAGACTCATCTGATCTCTTTCTTCGAGAGAGTTACAAGCTGGGTAGATGCGGGGAATGATGCCGTGGATGGAGCATGTCTGGATGTCAGGAAGGCCTTCTTTGACAAGGTCCCCCATGACCTTCTGGCAAGGAAACGAGACCAATGTGGGTGAGGTAAAACTACAGTGAGGTGGATCTGGAGTTGGTTAAATGGACGAACCCAGAGGGTGATTCTCCCCAAGGCTTCCTCCTCTTCATCCTGGAAAGAAGGGATGAGCGGAGTGCCGCAAGCAGGGTTCCGTCCTGGGCCCGGTCCTGATCAGGATCTTCATTAATGTCTCAAATGAAGGGCTAGAAGGCAGGACCGTCAAGTTTGCAGACAACACCAAATTGGGAGGGAGAGCCAATACTCCAGAGGACAGGAGCAGGATTCAAAACCATCTTGACAGATTAGAGAGATGATGGGCCAAAACTAACAAAATTAAGTTCAACAGTGACAAATGCAAGATACTCCACTTTGGCAGGAAAAAACGAAATGCAAAGATACAGAATGAGGGATGCCTGGCTCGAGAGCAGTACGTGTGGAAAAGATCTTGGAGTCCTCGTGGGGAGGAAGGGGAACATGAGCCAGGAATGTGATGTGGCGACAAAAAAAGCCAAAGGGATTTTGTCCTGCATCAAGAGGAGCCTAGTGCCTAGATCTAGGGAAGTCCTGCTCCCCATGCTCTATTCCGCCTTGGTTAGACCACTTTACCTGGAATATTGTGTCCAATTCTGGGCACCACAATTCAAGAGAGAGATTGACAAGCTGGAATGTGTCCAGAGGAGGGCGACTAAAATGATCAAGGGTCTGGAGAACAAGCCCTATGAGGAGCGGCTTAAGGAGCTGGGCATGTTTAGCCTGAAGAAGAGAAGGCTGAGAGGAGATATGATGAGGGCCATGTATAAAAATGTGAGGGGAAGCCACAGGGAGGAGGAGGGAGCAAGCTTGTGTTCTGCTTCCATGGAGACTAGGATGGGAAACAATGGCTTCAAACTACAAGAAAGGAGATTCCATCTGAACATGAGGAAGAACTTCCTGACTGTGAGAGCCGTTCAGCAGTGGAACTCTCTGCCCCGAAGTGTGGTGGAGGCTCCTTCTTTGGAAGCTTTTAAACAGAGGCTGGATGGCCATCTGTCAAGGGTGATTTGAATGCAATAACTAGGAAAATTGGGTTTATATATCTGTGGAATGACCAGGGTGGGACAAAGAACAAAAAAAAAAAAAAAAAAAAAAAAAAAATGGGTTTATATATCTGTAGAATGACTGGGGTGGAGCAAAGAGCTCTTCTCTGCTGGAGCTAGGTGTGAATGTTTCAACTGACCACCTTCATTAGCATTTGAAGGCCTGGCTGAGCCTGGGAAAATCTTTTGTTGAGAGGTGTTAAGATGTGCCTGGTTGTTTCCTCTCTGCTGTTTTGCTGTTGTAATTTTAGAGTTTTTTAATACTGGTAGCCAGATTTTGTTCATTTCCATGGTTTCCTCCTTTCTGTTGAAATTGTCCACATGCTTGTGGATTTCAATGGCTTCTCTGTGTTCTGACATGCTCTAAAATTACAACAGCAAAACAAGAGAGAGTAAACAATCAGGCACATCTAATCACCTCTCAACAAAAGATTCCCCCAGGCACTGTCAAGCCATCAAATGCTAATCAAGGTGGCCATTGTTCATTTTCATGGTTTCCTTCTTTTGTTTATTTTCATTTTCATGAAAATGAACAAAATTTGGCTACCAGTATTAAAAAACTCTAAAATTAGAACAGCACAACAACAGAGAGGAAACAAACAAGGACATCTAATCACCTCTCAACAAAAGATTGCTCCAGGCACTGCCAGGCCAATCAAGGTGGTCAGTTGAAACATTCACACCTAGCTCCAACAGACAAGAGTTCTTTGTCCCACCCTGGTCATTCCACAGATATATAAACCCAATTTTCCTAGTTTCCAACAGACCTCACAACCTCTGAGCATGCTTGCCATAGATGCAGGCAAAACGTCAGGAGAGAATGCCTCTAGAACAGGGTCCACAAACTTTTTACACAGAGGGCCAGGTCATAATCCCTCAAACTATTGGAGGGCCGGATTATAATTTAAAAAAAAATATGAATGAATTCCTATGCATACTGCACATACCTTATTTGTAGTGCAAAAGCAATACAATAATTAAAATGAAGACCAATTTTAACAAATATAAACTTATTAGTATTTCAATGGGAAGTGTGGGTCTGCTTTTGGCTGATGAGATAGGGTTGTTGTTGTTGTTGTTGTATGCTTTCAAGTCGTTTCAGACTTAGGTTGACCCTGAGTGAGGGCCGGGTAAATGACCTTGGAGGGCCACATCTGGTCCCCGGGCCTTAGTTTGAGGACCCCTGCTCTAGAACATGGCCATATAGCCCGGAAAAACCTACAACAACCCAGTGATTCCGGCCATGAAAGCCTTCGACAATACATTTCCAAAAGTTCCTGTCGTCAGCACAAAAACAAACCAAGGCCGGATTATACACCCCCTTGTTCTGGAACCCCGATAATGTGAGGCTTAGAAGAGGGCCTCTGAGTCACAGGCGGATGCTGAAAACGCAGCTCTGAAAAACACAGAGGAGGTGCGTTTCCACCCGCTGAAAGCGCCCATCTCTGCCTCCCATTCTGCTATCTCCAAAGCACAGCCCCGCCCCTCTGCCCACGGAGCCAATGCAGGCTTGAGTCAGATGGTTTTTTGCAGAGAGAGCGGTGCAAGTCTGTGTAAATCGCTGCTTCCATGGAACCTGCCCACCCAGCCATTTCCCATGCATTCAAACATCTCCATCTTCCTGTCTCATTTGAAAGAAAGTCAGCTTTGATTAGTCTCTAAATCTTTAAACTCCTGCAGACTCCAGAAGCAACCTCAAACAGCACCTCTCCTTCGTTCAGTAGCACTAAAATATTGTTTCAGGTGTAACAACACACCTTTCCCGCTCTTTTCCTGGATCTCTTCAATGGCCGGAGCTTTCCAGGTTTGGCCTTCTGCAGGGAGAACTGCAGAAAATCCCACCTTTCCCTATGACAGAATTCAATAGGTCCCCAAATGTGTCGCCTCTGAAGGCTGACACCAATCCTCCAAATGCTCTTCCATAGTTTTCAAAGTGCATCTTCCAGTAATAGCGTCATTATATGAATAGAAAGAATATTTTAAAATATACAAAAATGG